CTACTCTACTACGCCAATGCTCTTCCACTCTTTCTATTCACCAACAATATATGTTATAACATCGAACTCTGCTTCATTTTGAAGTTAGCGGTGACTTGGAGCGCCATATTGATGTTAACAATAAGCAAACCCAATCCTAAGGACAGCTAATCTTATTTTCATCACTGAATATTGAACATCACCTTGATTGAGGAAGAGCATATGCTGTGGTTGGGAGAAGTCTGGAATAAGCTACTACACCAGCAGGAATACTATTGACAAATGAAGCAACACTAGCCGTGAACACTCTGGAAAGCTTTATTACGGATCTGTCTACGGTACTTGAAGATGTCAAATGGGTGAACACGCTAAAGCTCCTTCACCTCTCTATCAGTTGGCAGAGATGGCTGAGTAACACTGAAGTGAAAACGATATGGGAAAAAGGAATTAGCGTCGAACATTTTATCCTTAAAACTATTTTTAAGTTTACCTTTTATTACGTCGCTCTGCTTTTGGTCCAATTTCCTTACGACCAGCTATTAGTACGCAAAATGCTCCTTTCGGCCTCGAGCTGTAGAAAATCAGTGAAGTTGGCGCGGTGTATCAGTGACTTCAAGATGGAATACCTTTGCACATGGTAGAAAGTGCAATAACTGGTGTTCTTGCTTCAGGGGGATTTTTAAAGCACTGACTGACTATGCTGCGTTTACCGACACCGAAGATTGTTCCTTTCTGTTCGTTGGCACTGCGCGTTCTGCCCCAGTATTGTCTTCTTACGCCTTCAGAAAAAACCTCAGTTACATACGTGAGGCCTGCATAACACCACTACACTACCGTCTATGCGTAGGAAGAATTCAAACTTCTGTTCGTCACACCACCAACCATGGCACGACCACTGGATCAAGTGGGAGTTTTGAATAATGGGTTCGCGTATTGGACTTCTCCCTAGACCACCTGGATACCACGGTCTTCCAATATGATCCCCTGTTAGACGTCTAGCTTAGCATGGTTACCCTATTGCGCTACTATTCAGTCATTACTTTTGCCACTTCATGCTGATCATGTTCATTTTGCAGACACCATCCTCTAGCAATCACCCACTATAGGCTCCTTCCACCAGCCCGATCGTTTGTTACCCCAGTGGACGATGGACAGGTAGATGTCATGAATGTAACCTACATTACTCCTCACGACACTTTCTGCTTCATGATAATAGGCAAAGTGTTTGGTGCGGGGCCTAAAATCACCTCCGTTTGCGGACCCGTGTCACGTCTTAGTCGAACACAAACAGATCGACCGAGCCCACGACCACAGCACAGACTATACCCTCTGTACGGTCAATAGTGTGTGTTTGCAAAGACGACAGAAACCCTATTTCATCACTTTTTATTTCAAAACAAGTCACTAAAATACCACAGTTCCATTGATTTGGTCTATTCGCAGAATGGATCATATTTCTTAACCTTTACCCACCTAAAGTGGAGTTATCACACAGTTTGGGGCGCACCTTTTGCAATGGGAAAGTGCATCTTAGTCACAAATGAAGGAAAAAAATGTTTTAGATAAACAACCATTCTGTTCTCTTTCCCAAAAACTCCTAAGCTTAGGCCATACCATAATTATATAAATGGTTTTTGAGTGAAGTGAAGATAACCTCCAAGTATGTTTTAAAATGAAGTACGTTTCTTATATAGTTTCTTTCTTCTTAAAATGGCAACTCACGAGCCAAATGAATGCTCCCATGGTAAATCAAGACTTCGGGGCGAAAAAACCTCTTAAGTGACTACGTAAGGTCCTTCCAAAGTTATTTAATGTCAAGCATTTCCACAATAACAAGAATCCATCGGTGGCAATTCACACGGCTAATCTGCAGTTGTGGTAGCTGGCGTACATTACACAAGGTGTAAATTAATTTTTTGGGGGTATTTGGTCAAAATCCTTTTCGTTAATCCACTCTTGCTTCATGCAGACTGTGAGAGAGGATTCTGTGTTTCAAAAACATAAGGCCTTTACAGGGTGCTACTCTTGGTCCAGTGTTTGGAATAGGGACTGCTTGAGTAAAATCGTTATTTCGAACTACAAAGGGTGTTTCGCTTTGTCCACGCTGTACCCTCCCTCACTCATCCACTTTCCAGCCTTTCACCAATGCCCGAAAGGCTTCAGCATAGACTTGTATGGAAGTATGCTTGGAACACCCTAAAGCAATCTACCTCAGTCGCGGTACTCTGAATATCCCCTGATGGTGTGTTCACCGTTTCCATAGAGTTGCCTCTTGGGAAATATCTTCTTTAGGTGTTGGTTTCATGATCCGATTTTTAGCAGAAGCAGTTTCAGTGGGTGGGGAAGGGGGCCACCTTGATCAAGATTAAAAGCAAAAGATGCATGCCTAATCTTCTCATCGCCTTGATTATCTACAAGTTGGGTTTTAAGTCTTTGTTAAACCATCACCTAGCATCCTGATCGATTGTGTGGACTAATTCATGATGGGCAGGACAATTATTGTAAGTAGTAGTGGAACGGAATTAGTACCTACTGCTGTGTGCCGCACATCCGTGACATCTTTTATGGTAGGTGTAGAAGCATAAGCCTTGCTTTGACTCGTCGGCCCGAATTTATGTTCAGGCTTAAAAATAAAGTCACTTTTTTCCGTCACAGAAAAAAAGGTTGGTCAAATGTCAAAAGGGCTCTTCTTGCCTCTAACCACAGCAGATGAGGCGACGCATTTCTAAAATCCCTTTGATTGACTGTTAAGTCTACCGTACCGGCGGATCTTTTCATCCTTTTGGATGGACAAGAACTATGCATTCCACGGCTGGAGAGCAGGAAAAGTGGGACTAAAGATTGAAGTTCCTATGTTTTGTAACTGATCCATTTCCTTACAGTACATATCTCTCTATAATTATGGTTGTATCAGGTAAGTAATGCATTGCCTAAAAATAGCGGTAACAAACCTTTCAATACTCTACCTGCCAAAGGAATTCACTTAAAGGGTATATTTTAATCAACTAAAATCAAGCAAAAGGAGAAGGACTCTCATGGAATGAAATGTAGATAAGTTGTCTATGATCATTCTGGCAAAGGGGTCGAAAAATGCCTTAAATATTCAACGATTGAATAATGAAGATCGTGGTAGCTCAAAAATTAGTATTCCAAATCACATTTCGAAATTGTTTGGCATACATTCTTTCCACAGTTCATGTCTTGAAATATTCTTCTCTGACACAGACGGTAAGGCTATTAGTCATCAGCTTTCCTCCATTCTGTATGGTAAAAAATTAAAAAAAAGGTTTTCCACGGAGAAGCGAATTTTCACCACAGAAAACGGAAAACCGACAGCACCAGACATATCTCTTATTTAATTGCTGCACCTCGCCATGTTACTCCTGATTAATGGTTACAAGGGGCTCCAAAGTCATTGTAGCGGAGGTATGGGGAGAGGGAGGTGGAAACAGCGTTTTCGCCTGTGCAAAACACACAAAAGTGCCGAAAACCCAACAGTAATGCTGCGTCCCTGCACTGTAGGGACATGAATTGCCCTCATTCCATGCTGGTTTGCTAGCCAACTGGTCGGCTGGTCAACCAAGTGAACAACTGTTTCATAATTACCCCCAAAACGCGCAATTTTTGGTCTGGGAAGGGAAAATGTGTGATGATGTGTATGTGCGTGCTTTTTTTGCGACTCTCTGGTGCAATAATTTTAACAAATTATTTTTATTCCGGGAGAAAAGAGGTTTTGGGCAGAAAGTGGTGCTCCCTGCACATCCATGTTATGGGTGCGTGTGATAATAACAACAAATAAATGACGAGTTTTCTTTCTCCACTTGAAGTGTAAACAGAGTGCATTGCAAGTCTTTTAGAACTCAGTGTTTTTATAGTGATTAAATCTAGAAATCTGGTGTAATACACTTTGATGCTAGCGTCACATATGTGGGACGTCCCAATTTCTCATCTTCCAGGGTGCGCTTCACACAAATGTGGGAACTTGGTAATGAAGCGGGGAGGAAAAGAAAAATAAAAAGGTTTTGTGTAAGGGGAGAGTGGTAATGCATCCCCTAAGATCCCAATAGCGATAACGTAGTCTCACTAAAAGCTACTTCATAGTTATCATGACATCTTTAAGTGGTTAAAATTGGGGCGGGGAGGGTTTTATGCGCGCCATAGCTTTAATAAGGCTTTAAGTACTTTAGTGTCTACTTTTACTATTCTTGCTTAACTCATGATGGCATCATAGCTCTGAAGGATTTAATAGCGGCATGTAGGGAGACAAGACTGTAATGCTATTAATTACCGCAGCACTTATCATCACCAGGGCCCTGAGAGAATTTTATCAAAGTTGAAATTTAAAGACAGTCCTTAATCACCACTTTGGCG